CCGATGCCAGCGATGCCATCGTAATGGTGCTGGCTCAGGAAGAAGAGAATGGTGAAGAATCACAATCAAAGGAGGATGTGGGAGCGAGGTCAAGATGCCGGGGGTCGTGGCGGTGTCGCGACCGAGACATGCGGATCCCCGCAGGGTAGGAACCGGGGATGACAGCCAGTCGAGCTTGGTTCTCCAACTTAAGCTCGAGCTCGGAGTGCAGGCCCAAGCTCAAGCTGAATCAGACTGCCGTGCCGAGCGGACGGGAACGTGGGCATTCCAGCAATGACGACACCAAGGTTTTGCCGAAGGGGCGCCACTAGCATGGTTCCGGCGACGTGATGAACAGGGTCAAGACGTGGGATGGGGCAAGACAAGGAAGACAAATACTGTGATGGACGATAGCGCAGAGACCTGGACTTCTGGCGAGTCAAGTCAAGTTGACCAAGGGAGCAGGCGTTCGTGGTTGAGAGCGGGGTAATGGTCCGTGGTCTTGAGAGACACACGGGGCCGAAGGAGCAGGCTCGTGATGCGGCACCCGAACGGGCCCGCTCGCTGTGTTGCCAGAGAGGGTGTGTCGGCGGGCTCTTTGATGGATGGATTCGCTTGCCGAGAGCTGAAATTTGATGGAAGCGAGGCTTCGGCCGACGACTGCCGGACCAGTAGTGTTCTTAGCCATGCCCATTTGGTGTAGCCAGCGTAATCAGGCATCGCCTGCCTGCGTGACCAGCTCAAGGCTTGCTTATCTCTCCACCATGGACTCAAAACTGCTTGGAATAAAACTTGCCTGCCAGGTTTCCTTCCTAAGGCACGGAATTGAATTCCATCATCAGGCTCAAGCCAAGAAAGATGGACGCTGCTCGCTTGCCGGAAGCGATCAGCGGTGAGCATAAGCCTACGCAATCCTGCTCGAAGGACCGACGTGCACCCTCTCAACCATACACAGTCAAGACTTATTGGGCATGGGGACGATCGCTATCCACCTGCATCCTCAAAAGTCAGGCAACTGCTCTGTCACCGGGGATGACGCCTGGTGTCATCGCAATCATATCTGTGAGCGGGATGACGAGATCAAGAACTCTTCTCCGAAGGCCCCTAGTTTCGAAGGAAAACTCGACTCCAGCACCGGCACCTCCCATGAGCACTCTTCTGGCGGCAAGGACTCATGTAGTTGGAAAGCGTCCAGAGGAATTGCGTGAGGGCTTCGAGGACGGTCGTCAGTGAAGATACGTGTCGATTGCTTGTTCAAGCAGCGCGAATGAGTGACGAAGTCTCGGATGTATCTGGAACCCGCTATGTATGGCGATGGCACGGCCGATGTCTGTAACGAACTGTAGCAATAATGCTATGAGCGGGTTTCGTTACTTCCAGTGATCGAATTGGGAGTACATGAGGACGGACGCCGAGAGTTTAATTCGCTCGGAGCGAGAGGGCTGGCCCTTAGCCTACAGACTTTCGAAGGCATTCGTCTATAGCCAGTGGCATCGGTAGCCATGCCAAGCGCCGTGGACCGTTAGCGACTTGACTGCAACGAGTGGGATCTTCTCCCTGCCTATGTAAGCGAAAGGCAATGATGAAACCCCGAGAAAGGCGAGGAGATAATACTGCCTGGCTCCTTGCAGGCCTGGAGTTTTATCCTAGGCTTGATTCGCAGCTGGCCGGACCACGCTCACGAGCGCATCTCGCAAAGTCGGAAAGGATAATAACAGGCCTACGTCCGGATTTTGGTGCCCCAAGACCCTGGATGGCAGGGCTTGCTGTGCTGTTTGTACGGCATGCTGGCGCACAAAGCCTTGCGCAACTGACGGCAAGTTTCTGCGGGCAGAGGGCACTTTGAGGCCAGGGCATAGAGAATCAGGGTCGCCATGTCTGGGCGAAACCGGCTGACGCGTTGAGTGCGTTCCACGAGCAGATCATTGAAGCTTTGCGCCGTGACTTGAAGACCTAGAGTCAGCGCATGGGCACTCGAAGGCGGGGTCCCAGCCCAGGATATCCGTCGTGACATTGCAACGCGAGCTGAGCCGTTTAGCCACGCTTTTGCTTGATATGGGCAGGATGTGGGTACAATATCGAACACATCATCGATCAGGGTGTTGCAATCTTTTTGTACCCGAATTGACAGCAGTGGCGTCCATTTCGGGCGACTGAGAGTACCGTGTCAGTCGAGGTCGTGAGGGATTCTCGTATGGCGGGCACTCGCCGTGACCTGCTTGTCCAGGTTAGGGAGAAATTGACAAAAAGCACAAAAGCGTGTGTCTAGGTATTCAAGAATTCGAGACCAACGCGTGCTCTAGGATGGCGAGCCATAGTTCAATGGTTTCTCTGTGTTGATGTTGAAGCTGGAAAGAGGTACCAGGCAGGGCATGGAGGGGTAGGGAGGAGAGACACCAATGTGGGTGGGGTTTAGGCTGATCGCACGGGTGAATCGAAGAAGCTCAACCTTATCAGTCGCTTATCGTACTGACTGGAGGGGCAACTTTGGACTTGCAGTGTCCTCGCTTGAGGGTCAACGGGCAAAGCGTGGCAACCCGGCATGCTGTGCAACTTCAGACTGTCTTGAGCAGGTCAAGAAACTGTCACTTGGGGCTTGGATTCCATACAAGGGTCTGGGCCGTTTGGCTGTGAACCCATTTGCCGTTCCAGGCACCTCAGAAGCCGCTCAGGGAATTTGGGGGCTGCTGCCGGAGACACGTGATGCTAGGCGGTGCTTCTCCAGCGGCCTGTCCACTAAAAATATCCAGGTAGGTACCTAGCCTAAGGCGGATAGGCGCCGTATCTCGAGGCAGCCACCCAGCCCATCGCGTGGGCTGACTCTGTCTGTCACAGGCTCACAGCCTTCCTCTTCCATCCTCCAAGCCTTTTCGCCCAGCATCGATACGACACCACTCGGCAGCTGGTCCTGCTGCTCGTTCGTTTCTCTTTGCACACTCTGTAATCATAATTGCATCGGCAGCCTCCATCTTTCATTCGCGTTGCCACGTTTCATTCGTTAGTCTGGCTTCTGCTATCCAGGTCTTGTACATTACCATCCGACCCGACCGGACTCTCTCGATCCATCCATCCATTTTCGTCATCTTGGCTTCACGGCGCTGTTCTGCCGAATAATCCGACGCTCCTTGTCAGCATCCACCGAAGCCTGCATACTGCGTCGTCCGGCATCACGCCAGCTTTTATCGAAACCTACACACTTGGTACTACAGAGACGCAACCAAGTGACCACTGCCTGACGTCTGCTTCAACACATTCGATCCAAGTCCTGTCACCATGGCTTGCATCGCCCCACCACCTGCCCGCTACCGCCGCGCGCTCCTTGTGAGCCTCGTCGTCTTCATCGTCCTCACGATCGCCCTCGGGTACACTCGACTACTGTCGCTCGACGCCCTCCTCCCGACAGATATGCATATCCCTGTGCTCCAAAAACCCCGTGGACGCACTGGCGCCGACCGCCCCATGTCCTACGGCGAGACCGCCCGCCCGGCGTTCAAGGACCTCCCCCACCCGCTGGCGACACTCGATCCGGCCCTCGTGCCTGCTGCCGACAATAACCGCCGTCTCATCATCATCGGCGACGTCCACGGCATGCTCGCTCCCCTGGAAGCCCTCCTCAAGAAGCTGAATCACAGCGCCGCGCCGGTGTCGAAGGGCCCCGAGGGCGCCGTCTACGACGACCACCTCGTCTTTCTCGGCGACATGGTCAACAAGGGTCCCAACACGCCGGGCGTCATCGACCTCCTCCTCCGGCACAACGCCTCGGCCGTCCGCGGCAACCACGAGGACCGCGTGCTCCTGACGCGCGCCGACCGCGCCACGCCCCGCGTAGCCGACGAGTCCGCCGGCGGCGACGAGGGCCCCGCGGCGCCCGACAACCTCGAGCAGCAGCACGTCATCTCCTCGAACCGCGGCAACAAGGCCGACCACGACACGCTGCGCTCCCTTTCGGCGGCACACCTCGACTACCTCGCCTCGCTGCCCGCCATCTCGACCTGGGCCCGGTCCCCGGCTTCGCGCCCGCGCTCGTCGCGCCACGCGGCCTCGTTCCGGCGTGCCCCGAGAGCAGGATCCTGGGCCGCATGACATGCGCCACCCTCACTACCCGCGAGACGCTTGCTCGCGCGACGCCCGCGAGACGCTCGTGCGCGCCGCCGCCGACGCCCTGCGCGCCTCGCCCGCCTACCGCACCGGACCCCTAAAGCGAAAGCAACTGCCAGGACAAGAATCGAGACCGAGGGCCCGCGCCGGCGGACGCCATGGTCGAGGGACGAGTTTTGCGCGCACGCGCAAGCCCGACGCCGACCGCCGCGTCGCCGTCCCGTCCGAGGCGCACGACGGCCACGCCTGGGCGCCCGTGTGGGATGCCGCGCAGAAGAGGGCTGAGACCGACGAGGGCCGCATCGCCGTCGTGTACGGCCACGACGCCAAGAGGGGGCTGCATGTCGGGGAGTACGCGTTCGGCCTCGACTCGGGGTGCGTGCGCGGGGGCAAGCTGAGCGCGCTCGTCGTTGCGGCTCGCGAGGGCGGCCCGGTTGAGCACCATGTTGTGCAGGTGGACTGCGAGAAGCCTGACAAGAGGCGTGAGCTTTAATGGGGTGCACTGCTGAGGGGGGACTGTTTGCTTTGATTGATACCCATAGACGCTCGACCGAGGGCAATACACGTCGTTGGGGACTGTACATGACTTGAACCGAATACATAGATTCACGACTCCTATCGCACGATCAGTATGGCCTGCCTACGGACTCTTCTCATGCTCATTGCGTGACACATTATGCATACGTAGCACCGGATCATGTCATCATTTTTTTTTCATTCTATATCGCACTTGTGTACGCTTCATTATCGTTCAGAAGTGGCCACACACATGGCGTCCACCCCCAAAAGGTTCCACACTCTGTACAACGAACATCATGAAAAAAAGAAGCAACAGACAGTTTACGCCTGGATCTTCTGCTTGATAATGTCCTTGAGGGTGATGGCGTCGGCGGCGAACTTGGAGATACCCTCGCGCAGCTTCTCGACGGCCATCTGGTCCTCGTTGAAGTCGAAACGGAAGAGGGCCTCATCGCTGATGTAGCTCTTCTTCTCAAGGTCGAGGCTCGACGCGGCGGCGGCGTCGAGCTTCTTGGGGACGGCATCCTGAGACTTGAGGAGCTCATCGAGCAGGTTGGGCTGTGGCGTGTTAGTCTTTTTGGTCCGTTCTCATTGCAATGCTTGCTGAGAGGCATTGGGGAGGGAAGGGTGGGAACGTACGGAGATGTGAGTAGTCGCAGCCG